TATTATTTCTGCCAGCCTTTTTCCAATGTTACAGAAATAAGTGTTAAATTCATCTGCTGTATCCTTCTTACCTGTTAGTTCCACATCTAATACACTTGTAATACAATTAATTTCCGATTTAGTGTCCTGGTCATTGATGGCCTTTTTAATAACTTTCCAAATGTTTTTCTGATCATGTGCACATTCTCTTGTTAACGTTTTATAATAAAAATATTTGGCACTTTTCATTAGCTTACTTAAAGTTTTTCTAGAGACCACCAGTAATCCATGGCTTTAGCCTTCTTTATTTACTAGATATAATCCTTACAGTAGGGGATTCACAAATAATATTTTTCAATTTACTTATGAACACATTCATACTCAGCAATATTTCATTTTCCGGCAAAACATCACCCCAATCCTTAGCCCCCATTCCCCCAGAAAGTTTTTCATAATTCATAATTTTGCAAAACGTTTTTTTATAAGTAAAGTTTTGATTTGATTTTCCCAGTGGAATGTTGACCACAAAACAATGGTCAAGATAGGACCCCCCTCCCTCAGATTTCCTAGTTTTTTACTTCAACTGTGTTTCCAAATTCATTTCCATGCATCACAGTCAGATAATAATTATTTTGTGATCTAAAATATCATTTAATTCTACGAATGTTTACTATTGATTTAATATATTACCCTATTTTACTTATCTATTTTAGATGAGATCCTGCTCTCTTCTAATTTTTATAGGCTTGTCGAGGTCAGATTTTTTCAAGTATATAATGCAGCTCGGTATCCTTTTTGCCTTTTTACCTCTCTTGTTTTTGTGAAAAGGTCTCGTTTGCCAAAAAAGTCAGTTCTCATTGATATACAGCCTACGATCTTCTCCAGCCAAATCACACTCCCTTGTAGTTAGGCCTTATCTTAGTTTGATTTCCTTAATAATATCCTTTTTGGTTTGTGTGTCGAGTAATTTCACCAAAATTGGGCCATCCTCATTCTTGTTTACTCTGTAGCTTTCTGAGATAACTTCATTGTTTGAAGGCAGCTTCATTGCTTTGAATACTTTGTCAACAATAATATTTGTACTTAGCTCAGGTTGTTTTGGTATGCGCAAAATAATGAGATTTCTTGATTTTTCAGCTACTTCCATGCTTTCTACTACTTATGTCCTCCAAGGGTGACATTCTTTGCTTCAATTCAACATTTTCTTTTTTAAGGGTTAGTGTCTCCTCCAGAATCTTTTCAAATTTTTGTTTTTGCTATTCCAAAGAATTGGAGATAAACTGTATGGAATCCTGAATATCACTCATTTTTTTCTTCATTGTTTGTTGAATAGGTTCAAACGAAGGTTCAAAGAATTGATGGAGGGACTCCTTGATAATTTCCCTGAGTTTTCTTTCGTCCATTTTCACTAAATTTTCTTCTTTTCCGCTGTTTTTTCTTTTTTTTTTTTGTAAGTTAATCTCAATTTTTTTTGGGTCTCCACAACATGTGAATTTTCCGTTGTCATTTTGGGTTTCCACCCTACTTGACCTACTTGGGTGATAGCAGGCTTCACACACGCAACAGCTTACAGTGTCCAAAACTTTTTTTTTACATTATTTTCACTTTTTTTCGCAATTCTTTGCCTGACTAAAATTTCGATCTCCATCCATAATCTAACCTCAATATTTCTTCAGATGGCACAGCAATACTTGTAAATGAATACTCTTATGATAAATATAGCCTCAAATGCATATCAGAGAAAAGTTATAAGGGCTGCTAAATAGATGTATTTTGAACAACGACTAAACGACTCACAAAACAGAAACATTGTACCTAAGACTTTCTTTTCAAGCACTCAAAGTGAATCACCTACCACTTGTTGGATATCTTTGCAATTCTGCTCCAAAATATACACAAGTAAAAGAAGACTACGAGATGTACAGGGTCATTCAACGACTACTGAACAGGGGCTTTTTTTTTACCTTCCCTGTTCCTGTAGTTTTGCAAAAATTCAAAATTGCCAATTGGCATATTTTTTTCTAGTTGAATTCAAAAATGGTACCAAAAAATCATTTCAACTAAAAACCAAAGAGTTACGCCATGGATGAACTATTTTTCAAATGGAACACCCTGTTTTTCATGTAAGTCGCAATTTTAACGTCTATTCTGTTGAAAATATTTGATATTCCGATAGCTATTTTTATTTTATTTTAATGTTTTATCCTTAATAATTTTATCTTAACCTGTTCAATACCTACATCTCTGATGGCGACAAAATACAAAATATGTCAAATTTCTTTCGACTTTACCCATGGCGTAACTCTTTGGTTTTTGGTTCAAATGATTTTTTTGTACCATTTTTGAATTCTCCAGAAAAAAAATATTTCAAATGGCTATTATAAATTTTCTGAAAAATACAGGGATAGTCAAAAATTTGCCCCTCCCTGTTCAATCCTCGTTAGATGAACCTGCACATCTGTGGAGGATTGGACGATCCAACAAAATGGTTCACTGTGATATGCTAAATTAAAATCAAACCACTCAGAATTTGATTGAAGAATCTTTTATTACATATTTCATGCTGTAAGAAATCAAGCTGCACATGTTATTATCCCTAGTACTGATCAATTGTATTAATCCTGACGATATAATACTCGAAAAAACTAGCAACTATTGGTTGTCTAGGTCTATGGTAGGATGCCACTTAGCTGCTGAATCTGAAATAATATGTAACATTTTACCAGCCTTACATATAGTAAGTGGTTGCGATAATACCAGTAGAAAACAGTGTTTTGAAGCTGCATCCGTAGATTTTTTTTCAAAAAGCATAAAATGCTGAACAACTAAAACAGAAACAGTCTACCCCTTTTTTTTTGCTGATGAAAATATTAGGTACGTCAGATGCTTTATATTTGCATTTCTTAACGGCTACAGTACAAACATTTATGTATTTGGAAAAATGCACATCAAACTCAATTGGAACCTATCGACTATTCCTCATTTGGCTATCAAGAGAACAATGGTACCTTATACGCCCACGACAATAATGATCACGTTGCCTTTGCCAGAATCATTGATTCAGCCTTGTTAATATACATCGAACAATGCCTCGCAGTTGTAAAAACTCAAAATCACCCTGTATTTCACTGCGTAAATGCATAAATAATGATTGCCGAAATAAAAATTACTTATTATTTGTCTCGCTTTGATATATTTCTATTTGTATTTGCTGTTTCCTTTTGTAAATTTTTCAAATTAAATCTTTTTTAAAATTATTTATTCTATTCATTGTTTACTTTATGTTTTTTTGTTGTTTATTTTGTTTCCACGACTCCTGGGATTCCGGCCCTATGCCAACGTAAACTTTCGAATAATAATAATAATAATAATAATAATAATAATAATAATAAATGCTCCGTTGTAGCTATGTCACCATACCTCTAGAGGGCGGAAACCCAGAGTAGTGAGTTAAAATCCCACTAGCAACAGCAAATTTTAACAGACGTTTTTATTTAAAATCCTGTAGTCTCACGATAAGAGAAAACTTAATTGGAACTATGAAAATCCCACACATAGCATATGAACCGGCAAAAACCGGATTATTAATCTTTGAAGTTTTCTCAGCTACTATCATATTTTGCATACTCATATCCATCTAACTTCCGGCCTATAAGGGGAAAACAAAGTAGCCCTGGGACTCTGTAACGGAAAGAGATCGTTATCCCTATCGCTATGGCACTTGCTATCTTCTTCTCTATTTTGGAAATCAATAAAGAGGAGACGTGCAGGAGAGATAGAGAAAATATCTCTATCCGTTACAGAGTCCCAGCCCTGTGACTACTATCAAGTTCAACTGTCGCCTAACGAACTGAACGATTTGTTCTGTTCAGTTTCAGAAAAATTAACAGAACACTTGGAACAAAAGATAAATCCTTTAGAATACTTACCTGAAAAGATCACTGAAAACTTCCATCTAACAAACACTGACATGCTTGAACTTAAAAACATTTTAAGGGACATAAAGAAGAAAAAATCGGCTGGAGCTGACATTTCAATAAATACCATCATGGCTGTTCCTAATTCAGCATGTTCTAGCTGAGGCGATAAACCATTCATTTTATATAGGAACTTTTCCAGAATGCCTAGATACAGCTTTAATTGTCCCCATTTTCAAAACTGGTAGTATATCAGATCCCTCTAACTAACAGACCAATTTCTCTGTTTTCAGCTGTGTCAAAGATCATTGAAAAGATAATCAAAAGGAGAGTAGTAGAACTTTTAGAAAGCCGAAAGCTTGATAGTTTCTTTTTTTTTTTGGTCCTTTCCTCTAACCCACGAAATTAAAACAAAGTTTTTTATTATGTTTTTTGTAGTTAGTGATTGAAAATGTTTGAAACTTGACAGTAGCAAATTTTTGGAATTTTGTTTACATATGTTTTTTAGTCCTTTAAAAAATGTTTGTCTTTATTTTACAGTCTCTAAGTCTTTCATTCTCTTCTAATGTATTTTAAATTATTGATAATTGTATAAGGCGTTTTAGTTGATATAAAAAATGTTTAATATTTAAGGAAAAAAAATTGTATATTTAAATATTAGCTTTTTCAATAAGTTTAAGTACTTCGGACAATAAAGCACAGTTCTATTCTATTCTATTCTATTCTATTCATAAACAGTAGTTTAATTATGGACTATGAATTTGTCGTCATAAATCTCAATGGAACGCACAAAGATATCGCTATTCTCGTTGGAACACAATAAAAATTAGTAGGAACCTTCTAAGGCTAGTCGGAACCTTCTAAAACTCCTTAGAATAGCACAAAAACAATTCAACAAATTTTCCTAGCTATAAATTTGTTGAAACATCCTAAATCTCAATGGAACAAAGAATTGGTTGTATTAGTAAAAAGACTTGATTCAACAAGTTTAAATGATTCAAACAACATTGGAATGATTATTTTTATTGCTTCAAACTTCATTGAAACGACTTTAGCTATATATGTTTTCTTATAGAATCATTGCATTTTTAAATCTAATTTCAGGTTTGCTAGAAGACACTGCAGGTTCGCTATGCCTACTAGAAAGAGGCGACAAAAAACCAGTCCGAAGACATCCAAACTTCACCCTCTTCGCTTGCATGAACCCTGCAACAAACGTCGGCAAAAAGGACCTCCCGGTTGGCCTCCGCAATCGTTTCACCGAATTCTACGTCGACGAATTAACTGAAAAGAGCGACTTAATACTTTTGGTCAACAGCTATCTGGACGCCATGAATTTGAAAGAGGAGGATGTATCGAAAATTGTAGGCTTTTATTTGAATATAAGAATAGAAATGCAGCGGTCGCTTTGTGATGGGATTGGTCACAAACCCCATTTTTCACTGAGGTCTTTGTGCAGGGCTTTAACGATAGCTGGCAAGAATCCATGCGGGAACTTTAAGAGGAGCCTTTATGAGGCTTTTTGTCTTAGTTTTTTGACGCAGCTTGATTCACAATCGTATCAGATTGTTCAAAAATTAATTGTTAAGTAAGTATGCTTAGTAGCCCAATAACTGCTAATTTTTTGTAATCATATACCTTTTTTTTCTTCAGATATTTGCTTTGTGACGCAAAACAACTGAAAGCCATATTGAACCAGCCAATCCCACAACCAAAAGAACGCGATAGTTCTTTCCTTGAATTCGAAGGGTATTGGATTAAAAAGGGAAGCTTAGAATCCATGCCTCCTGATGAATATATTTTGACTGACTCTGTAAGGAGAAATTTAAAAGATTTGTCCAGGGTGGTATCCATTGGAAAATTGCCAGTACTTTTACAGGTGAGACACAATCATTATCAAAATCATAATACTATAAAACATTTCATTCTTTTTTTCAAGGGTGACACATCAGTTGGAAAGACCAGTCTAATTACCTACTTAGCAAAATCAAGCGGCAACAAATGTGTAAGAATCAACAACCACGAACACACTGACTTACAAGAATACATAGGCTCCTATGTGGCCGACACTACAGGAAAATTAGTCTTTAGAGAAGGAGTGCTAGTAGAAGCCATGAGAAAAGGCCACTGGATTATATTGGACGAACTCAATCTAGCACCGACCGACGTCCTGGAAGCTTTAAATCGAGTCTTAGATGACAACCGTGAACTTTTTATTCCCGAAACGCAAGAAACTGTTAAGGCGGATCCAAACTTTATGTTGTTTGCCACTCAAAATCCACCGGGAGTGTACGGAGGCAGAAAAATGCTGTCCAGAGCCTTTAGGAATCGTTTTGTGGAGCTGCATTTTAATGAGATACCCCCTATCGAATTGGAGTTTATTTTGCACCAGAGGTGTGCTATGCCTCCTAGTTATGCAAAAAGAATGATCAGTGTTATGAGTGATCTTCAGGTAAGTCATAATGAAAAACTACATATTTTTATGAATAAAGTTGACAAACGCAGATCCGGAGAAGAGGCTCAGCAGCATTCGCTGGCAAACAAGGATTCATTACCCTAAGAGATCTATTCAGATGGGGAGAAAGATATCGCCTTGCTAAAAATTCTGATGAATTTTATGATTGGAATCAACATTTGACAGATGAAGGTTATTTGGTGCTGGCTGGCAAAGTGCGTAAATACGACGAGAAAAAGGAAATCATGCAGGTGTTGCAGAAACATTGGCAAAGGGAAGTTCGATTGGAGAATCTATTTTCATGTAAGTTGTATCAAATTTATTCTTATTTTCAATACTTAACATATTTCTAAATGCAATAACGTATTCCAGGAATACACAAACATTTAAAATACTGATTTTTTTTTCTAGTACAAGAAAATACTTCGACAGTCACTAGACACATCTTACAAAAACTGGAAAACAACAGCGCCAGGTACCCAAACATAGTCTGGACGTTCAATATGAGAAAATTAGCAGTACTGGTAGCGAAAGCTTTAGAGTTTAAAGAACCCGTCCTACTAGTAGGGGAAACTGGCGGAGGCAAAACCACAATTTGTCAATTGTTAGCTCAAAACAATGGCCAGGAATTGGCTATCGTCAATTGTCACATGCATACTGAGAGTAGCGATTTTCTTGGAGGATTGAGACCAGTTAGGGATCACTCAGAAAATGTAAGGAAATCACATTGTTTTAAGCGAAATTATTATTTGATTTTTTTTAGTCGAAAGCCTTGTTTGAATGGGTAGATGGACCATTGTTGCAAGCTATGCTAAAAGGAAGTGTATTCTTGGCAGATGAAATATCATTGGCTGATGACAGCGTTTTGGAAAGGCTTAATTCACTATTAGGTAAGAAACATACCCACTTCCAATAATGATTGTTGAAAAAAGGATTGTGACTTACTTGATATTTATTTTACTCTATCTTTTTCTAGAACCTGAGAGAACACTGCTTCTTGCTGAAAAAGGAATCGACCTAAATAACCCTAACAATTCCGAAACTGTTGTGGCCCATTCAGATTTTGTATTTATTGGAACCATGAATCCCGGAGGTGACTTTGGTAAAAAGGAACTTTCTCCAGCTTTAAGGAATCGTTTCTCTGAAATTTGGTGCGATTCTTGCACTGACAGGGATGACCTGATTTTGATTATTAACAAGAATTTGCATGTCAATACTGAATGCAATTTTGGGGAAAAGATGATGGATTTTATTGAGTGGTTCAAGAAAAGTGACATCGGAAAAAGGTAGGGATTGTTACAAAATGCGAGTATTTTGATTTGTTTAGTCCTATGGGATATATTAAATCACATAGTGTTAGAATATTAATGCCATGGCTTCTTATAGTTCCTTTGGAACTAGTTCACAACCAGTTTATTATTTGTTTTTTTAATGGCTGTGTAATAATTTTAAGTGGTACTAAATTAATAGATGCACGCACAGTGTGGTTTTAAAGTGCGTTTTATAGTTTTTTCGTTCTGTTGAAAATAATTGATGTTTCCACAAGTTGTAGATCTCACATTGCTTGATCGCTTTGTTAAATTGGTGACTCTTAAAAACTGTGGTTGTGATATGTGATTTTATAGGATTTTACTAAAGTTTCTTGGCCTTAAAAATGCCCAACTGCCATAGCTGTAAAACAACATGCATCTTTAAATCTAAGTCCAATACTGATGAAAAATTTGGAACGCCATGTGACTCCTGCAAAAAAAAAACTTTATGTATTGACTGTTCATCGCTAAGTCTCACGGAAGCTCGCACGGTTGCTTTTGCATAGAGAACGCTTATATATTGCTGTCATCAACGCATGCCCCTCATAAAGGATATGTCAAACTTCAAGAAGATTGTTGGCCAATTTGAGAGAAGCAAAAATAAATTGAACATTAAAGTTGCAAAAATTGATGTACTGGGACAATATTTCGGCTAGCGAGTTGCTGAACTAGAGAGTTGAAAATCATAAACTTCAGGTCAACAACAGAGAGAAGGACAAACATATCAAAAGATTGAAACATTGAAGAGAGAAAAATACATCGATTAACTCAAGGAACAAAATGAAAGGGTCGGTGACTTAAACAAGCTAATCTTCGATCTACGTGAACTAAACTGTGTTTTACAAGATTATTTGAAAAATAAAACTCGCAACAAACCCACATAATTATGACGATTATCAGAAAGAGGAAGAATTTTCAACACAACTGAAAGAGAGAAGGGAGAGGACCTGTGTATTAAACAAAGACATTTTAGAACCTTAATGAAAACTCCCTGCTCGAAGAAAACTTGCTGGAAGCTAAAAACGAGCTATCCCAATATGCTCTGAAAATGGAAGAGTTAACTGCGCTAAACCAGAATATGATTAGTGCAATCAGAACTCTGGAAATGGAAATAGCCATGTATCTCTCTGAGCTTGAGCAACTTATCCTTGAAGACCCCACACACAAAACATACACAATGGCACTTGTTCCACTTAACCACTTTTATGTACAAGCAATAACCTGTTATCGGAAGTATATAGATCTTCAAAGCACAAAAACAGAAGTTCCAGCACGATAAATTTTTATTAAAAATATAAAAATATACGTTGGTCTTCAGAAGCACGCTCTTACTTTTTATATAACATGACAATTACCATGACCCACAGACTACGACCTACTCAGCGACCAGCATTGTCAGCTTTTTCACTACAAAAGTAAGGCTATATGATGATAAACAAACTTAGGTTTACAGTATACTTCAGGGTACTTGCATGGAAAATTAAATTGATTATTGTTTATTGCAAACTGTAGGAAATCGAAAAAAAATCGTTATTTTTTTTTTATTTCGCCCAAATATGATTATTCTGGGAGTTATTCAAATATTAAGTTTTGTATATATAGATATACTGAGCATGTGCAACGTCACTTATTTATTAGATAAGTGACGTCATAGGCAGATTTCATAGTGTTGTATCTCCGTCAATTTTTGACTAAGAAGAAAAAGAAAAAACACGTGTTGACTTATTTTTCATGGACCTTCGAAATCAGCAATAAAAAAATTTGATGCAAGGAGCCTATTCTATAAGGGTGAAAAAACATAAATACAAAACATTGAAAATCAACAAGTTTTTATATTTTTATTTTATTTCAACAACGTTTAAACATTCCCTGGAAAATTTAAATTTTGAACTAGCCAACGTTTTGGTTAGAAAGTGTGCTTGCTGTTTTTCAGTCGACATATAATTTAAAAATACTTTTTCTTGGGCACCACATTCTCTCACTAAATGATTTTTCACATCTGGGTTTGGTTCGCCTACCTTCCATAGATGAAGCAAGTTATTTTAATGGTAGATTGGTTGTCTTCGAAAATGTTTTTCGGAAAAACATTGAAATTTAAAAGTGCAGAACAGAGCGGACCAAAAAACAAACAGTGACTACGTTTATTTCATGCATTGTGTCTAGATACATAGTGGATTGGATTATTAATGGGGATTAATAATCTTGAAATAACATGTTTCCTTTTAATTGTTAATTGTAACTATTTTTCATCACTGTTGTCTTTTATGAAGTTAGACACAAAGCAATTTGCGCTTGCGCTTTTAACAAGGCTTAAAAAAAGGACTAGCACTATTCTGAATCCATTTATTAGTTGTGAAATAAACAACATTCATTCACGCATGAAGACAAATGCTAAATACTCTAAGTCTGCACTCGATTCGATAATGCTACGATGCTTTGTTTTCTACAAAAGGTTCTAAATTTTTGTCATACTGAATATACAATTTTGGTTGCATGGGTAAATCATGAGGTTTACAATGTAACATCAAATTTTTCAAAAATTTTGATTATCAATTCAGTTTGCTGAATGCTTGGGCTTTACAAAGTAAAAGAATATCATCAACATATCAACAAAGAAGTTGAATCTCTAAAATATAAACAAGGGTCTTTTTTAGAACGTTGAAAACCAAGTTCAATTAGACTGTAATATAAAGAATTTCAATATTTTGGAGCTTGACGGAGCCCATATAAAGCTTTTTCCAATTTACAAACTAAGTTTTTATTTTGAGTTCCAACTTTAAAACCGTCAGGTGGATACATGTAAACTGGCTCTTTCAAATTTCCGTTTTCTAATGCACTTAATTCCTCCTTTATCGCATTTTTCCAATCACAATTCATCTTCACAGCTTCATGATAATTCTGCGGCACATCTGCAAAGAAATTTCCTGCATTCAATGCAACAAACAAATTTTAAGTCATCAATGAGAACATAATATTTATTTCTTTTACTTGAATTTACTTCATATCTGTCTCAATTTGTTGTTCTTTTTCCCTATTTTGTATTGTTTTTGAATCTCTATCATTGTCACTCTCACGGGTATAATAGGGTATAATATTTTGATTGTTTTCCCTCTTCATTTCATTAAAAAACACATTCCTTGCATGAACCAACTTCCTTTCATTTATATCCCACAATCTATACCCATTGTCGGTATACCCAACCATAACCAGTTTTTCTAATCAAGGGTCCAATTTTGATTTTCTTATTTCTTCAAGTACATGACTGTAAGCTGTGCATCCAAACAGTTTAATTTTGTCTAAATTAGGTTTCTTATTATCTCAAATTTCTGCTAATGTCTTGTGATCTTCCAAAGTTCTTGCCTCTAATCTGCTTATAATATAGCAACTTGCTCTAACAGTTTTGCCCCACATTTTTTTATTTAATCCTGAATCAAAAATTAAGTATCTTGCCTTTTCCATTAAAATTTGGTTAAACTGTTCAGCCACTCTATTTTGTTCCGGAGTATACATCACTGTGTATTGAATTCTAATGCCTTTTTCCTCACAATATTTCTTAAAATATGTCGATATGTATGTACTCCCCTCCGTTGTCACATCTCAATTTTTCAATATGCATTTCAAACTTTGTCTCTATACCATCAACAACTTTTTACTTTGTCAAATGCCTCTGACTTATTATTAAGCAAATATTATGTGATACAAAAATGTGAGTAATGGTCTATAAATGTCATAAAATATGACTTACCATCGTGTGTAACTGGCTTTATAGGTCCACAAAGGTCAGTGGAGACTGTTTCCAAAAGTCTTCTTGCTTTTCTATCTGAGGATATATCTTCAAATGGACACTTTGTTTGCTTTGACATAACACGTACATACTTCACACAATGCTGAGTGACCTATTTATCTATGTTCTAACCGCTTTTTCTCTTCTGTGCTTAATACTATGTTTGCACTAGGTTTTGTTCTCAAGTTTAGAAAATACAAGTTTCCTGTTAATTTTTCTTCCAGCACCACTACTTTATTTTTGATAATTTGTACTTTTCCTCTTTTAAATATTACCTCATGGCCATTTTCTTCTTATTTTCGCACAGATAACAGGTTCAACAATCCTTCACTGATTCAAACATTTTTTTAAGTGACTTTTGTTCCATTTTTAGTTTCCTTCTCAAGATTTCCTTCTATTCTCGCCTGAATATTCTGCCCTTTTCCCACATTAATCTTCCTATTTACCACCTTCTTTTCTTGTATAAACTGACTTCCAACAACATAATTAGTTGCCTCGCTATCTATATCTACCACAAAGCTTATTTGATCGTTACTTGTAAAACAGACTGTTTCTGTTGACAAAAAAAAACAATTTCATTCTTTTTCTTTTCTTCTTGTCTATAGCTGCCTCAAATCCTTGTCTATATCCTCGATGACCTCCATGAAAAACTCCTCTGTTTTGTGGACATTCTGACTTTGTGTCCGACTTCATTACAGAAATGACATCTAAAAGGAAACTGTTTATTTCTGCTCTCAGTACTTACACTTGAACCTCCTCCATTTTAATGTTTTCCTCTAAAATTCCCGCTTCCAAAATTTCCTCTATATCTTACTCCAAAAGCCATATTTGGGTTGTTATAATCATTCTCTGTAGCTTTTGACTGGCTTTGTTCTTCCATTAAAAACTTGCTTTCCATAAACTCAAGGTCCACAGCGGCTGGATTTTGACAAAACATAATGTCTATGGCTGTCGTTACACTTTGGAAGGAATCTAGCAATGCTGACAGACGTTGTAATATAAGTTAATCTTTATTTATGGCGTTTCCGATTGGTAGATCTAGTGCGGAACTAGTGCAATTTTTTCTATCTCTGTCTTTTTCTTCTACAGGTCGATTAAAAGGATGCAAATACACTCAGTGCGCACTGAATCTACCAATCGGAAACGCCATTAAGCTTCCTTCTGGGACTTTATTCTCGAAACAGGGGAGCAGCGTTTTTATGAGAACGGAGGTTCTGTCTTCGTTGTCCGTATTCATTATATCCATAAGACTGACAATGACAGAGCAATCGTTCTCATGAGAACGCTGTTCCTCGGTTTCGAGAATAAAGTCCCTGGTGTCTCTAACTCTGATACAATGCTGTCAAACTCCTGTAAGAAAACATTCAATGGAGTTCCTTCTGTATATATTTCAAACTTCTTAACCTTTTTTGCTACATAACTTGTGTCGATATTCCTATTTTTGCCCATGTATTATTCAAAGTGTCTATAGAATATATTTCACTGATTCCAAAATATCATCAGATAAAGACTTGATAATTATATTGCTCTTGCCTTGACATCTGCCTTTTTCCATGCTTTCAATTTTGTCAGATCTGTTCCTAATGGTATTTGTGACGTTACAACGTCTAAAACTTCCTGCTCTTCCAAAATAAATTTAATCCTGTACTCCCAGTTTGAAAAATTTCTTCCATCGAAGGGTTTCATTCCAAATTTTTCAGCCATTGTTCCATCTTATTTTTTTCTGCCCTTTTTTCGTGTGAACTTGAAGAGTGTTTTTTTTTTCAAACTTAATTTTTCCTTTTTGCCAAATTCCAGCAATTCTTCGATTCTAGATCAACACTGTGCCCATAACCTATTGGAGGAATATGGATTTTCGAAGCACAAAAACAGAAGTTCTAGTAGGATAACTTTTAATAAAAATACGTTGGTCTTCAGAAACACGCCTTTACTTTCTATATGATATGACAACTACAATGTGACAATTACCAATTACTATGATAATACTCAGCGACCAGCATTGTGGACTTTCATTTCGCTACAAAAGTAACGCTATCTATATGATGATAAACAAACTTAAGTTTACAGTCTACTTCATTATAGAATTGGTTATGTGGAAATTGATATAACCGACCTTGATTCAATGGTCACTCTCTTCTATGAAACCCTTTTTCAGTCCCAAAGAAAACAAGAAAAAGCGACAAAGATACTAAATGGTATGACAAAGGACTTCGTAAATACATCGCGCGAAAAAATGGATTATATTGGAAATACAAGAAATCAGGACTGAGAGGGTGACTATGAAGCCCACACTAAAATTCGTCCAGAGACTAGTCTGCATTGACATGCACTACTTGTTATAATATGTTACCAACACTGAGCACCTGATCCCTCAAAACAAAGATTCAAAATATCAAACATTTTTATTTATTTATCAATAATTTGAGGAGGAACTCGAACTTGCCGACCCAGATGAAGTACAAATATTGCACATTGGACGGCTCTGATTGCATTGTTGACGCATTCGCCATGCACTTTCAAGCATCTTATTCCAGCCACGATGACTTAGACATGACATCCATTGAACCTGCCCCAGTTTGCTACTCCCCTATCTTCTCATAGCTTCCAGACACAGGAAATTACAGACAAGTTTAACAAAGAAATAAAAATAAACGGTTATGTGTTTCGGGACATATTGTGTTTTTCAAGGCTCGTTTTTCATGATTTTATGACTTTAATATTACAGAATAAGTCCTATCTCAGCGATTCTGCATAAGGTAAGATAAATTAATACAAAAAAACAAGTCTTTAAAAAAAAAATTATTGGAAAAAATCTAATCTAAAATGAAAACTTAACCTAACCTAAAACATGGGAACATGCTCTGAATGTGAACAAACCTGTGTGTATGTGGATATTACCAAGGAATAAGGATAGATCTATTAAGGACCTCTTTAAAGGATCATGCGATCTTTGTAGAAACATTGTGACAGGGAGTGCTCAAAAATAACTTCCAGTGATATACGAGCACTAAAGACCCAATTCCGTATTATTTTGTACTTCTGTGGGGACTGCCTTTCCAGCATTAAACATGCGGGAAACATCCAGAAGGATTCCAAAGATTTGCAAACAAAATTTAGCAACTTGAAGCAAGAGGTTGGCGATTAAGGGGAAGATATAAATCAACTGAAGACCAAATGTGACTCTTCCCCCATAACCTACGCTAAAGCCTTAGCTGAGTCATCTAACAGAATCAATAAAGATATCTCAGGAATTAAAGAGTCTGCAAAGTTCATTTCTGATTGTTTTGAGGATCAAAAAAACGAATTTAAGAAAACTGTAGACACTTTAAAAGCAATTGACAAGGAGAGCACTATCTTGAAGGAGCGTATCAGGAAATTGGAAACTAAAGTGGGCTATTCTGAGCAAAAAGAAAAGGAAACCAACGTTATAATTTCGGGTGTGAAATGCCAAGACTCTATGAACCTGCCTGAAACTGTAAATACCATATTTAAACCTTGAGTCTTTGCAGGTAAAACAATGCATTAGATTTAGAGAAAAGGATAACTCTCCTATCTTGGTTAAGCTAAATAGTAATAGAGAAAAGATCGCATTATTCAAAAAACGCAGACAAATAGGCAAAGTGTCTACTCAATCTTGCTGTCTACAAGGTGGTACCATTTATTTCAATGAGGATCTCACTGTGGGAAACCAGAAGTTATTCAAGCTGACACGCGATATGAATAGACAGAAACAATTAATACTGCCAGTGCCTATACCTTCAATGGCATTGTTTACATCAAGAAAATCGATTTCTTTCCACTGAAATGTATCCAGATATATGGAAAGTTTCAGCTATTATTCCAATATATAAAAATAGTCAAAAAAATGATGTTAAAAACTATAGACCTATAAGTAAACTTTGCACATTCTCCAAGCTTTTTGAAAAACTTGTTTATCCTTATATTTTTAATTTTGTTATGAGTGATATTATGTATGGTTTTCTCCAAAAAGTGAGTTTAGAGTTCAATTTAATTGAGTATCCACAATACATTTTTGAATCCTTTGATTTGTTTGGCAAGGTGATGTAATCAGCACAGCTTTTAGTGAGGCATTTGAAAAGATTTCTCATAATATCACAGATAATATCATGCTTGACAGTCTGGCGGAGATGGGAATCTGTGGTGATCCTATTCGTTGGTTTGAGTCCTATCTATTGAATGGGTCAATGTTCGTGGCTTTACTTTTACTGGGGTTCAGTTCTGAAAGGTTTTGTCCCTCTTCAACTTTCTTTATACTTAGATAGGTAAATGCTCTATAATGTCTCTTTACTCTCTTTATCGTGGATCGACGATTATTAATTATGATTATAAGCAGGGAAATACTTCCTTGAATAGGGTTTTCCCCATTAAAGATCTGGGTGTGCTATTTGATTCGAAAATGATATTCGATCTACACATCGACAAACTGGTTAATGAATGTAACAGAATGTTGGGCTTTATTAAAAAACAATGTACTGATTTTCAGAACTCTGAGACAATAAAAACACTTTATTATTCATATGTTTCAAGTGAACTACAATTTGACTAAGTGATATGGAATCCTAAATATAAAAATTAAATCGATAGATTGGAGAAAATACAAAATATTTTTTTAGGATTCCTATGTGATATTGCTTGTGTTTCTGTGATGTTTTGATGCAGGGAACCTCTTTTTGGACTTGTTCTGTTTGTATCCTAAAGACTTTAATAAATAAATAAATAATAAATGAAAGTTAAATCTGCTGAACATATCCACCCTAGCAGTCTGCCAGAACTTCTTTTTACCTCCGTTGAGGCTGGACACAAGGTCGACTCCATTTACATAGATCTAGCCAAGGCTTCTGATAGCGTTTGCCACCTCCTTCTTTCAAAAAGCCATTACAAATTGATATCTCAGGAAACTATTTGGCATGGATCAAATCATATCTTGGAGATCGAACTCAGCGGGTAGAAGTGTGTGGCTACTCCTCAAAAAACGTCAAGGTCACTTCCGGTGTTCCTCAAGGATCACACATGGGACCTGTTCTTTTCCTATTATTTATCAACGATATTTCCTCCTGCTTCCACTCTTCGCACTTTCTCCTGATGACCTGAAATTTTATAATGTTAGGAATGGAATTTCCAACCCACTGCAACCAGATCTCGACAGATTTGCCTTTTGGTATTCTTCGAACCTATTGGAAGTCAATATATCCAAATGCAAATCAATAACGTTCCACAAGAGTACATCTCCTTACTTGTGAACATATAGGATTGGTGTAACGTTTGATCAAAAACTGATATGCAAGATGCACATCGATAATATCGTGGTCAAAAGTTGCAGATTGCTTGGCTTCATTAAGCGAAACACCAAACACATCAACGATACCATCGAGCTTTTTGTATGCATTACACTTGAATACTGCTCCGATTTCTGGTCTCCATATTATACCATCCATATTAATAGACTAGAGAACGTTGAAAACAGGTTTCTAAAATATCCACTTTATAGGCACCGCTTTCCTTCATCAGGAATGAATACCTTACGAAACCAGACTGTTGCTGTGTAGAAAGCCTTGAGAGACAGAAACACGCCTTATTTATTTTTCTTTATAAAATCCTGAACAATTGGATAGATTGCAGCACCTTATTGGAATCAATACTATTTTTGGTCCTTATTAGACGAATCAGACATCAACTTCTTTATGAGAACTCATAATGGATTCACAGCTTTTGCGGACAGTATGATTTACAATTACAACAGAAATTATAAGGAGTGTGATCTTTTTAACTGTTCCTTATTGTCGATTAAACGTTTTATGTTTTTGTGTACATATTACTATAATGTGATTGTTGGTGACTGTGATTTTGTCCAATGTCTTATCTTTCAATAATATTTTAATGTATGTACCATTTGGAAAACTGTCTGTTATTCTGTATTGATTGAAATTTTTTTAAATTATGTGTATTTTTGTATTGTTATAGGTATATCATAAGTATCCGAGATATCTTGACTTGGGTGAATTTTGTCAATGCATGCTCAGCAAAAATTACTACTAATGACGCCTATCTCAATGGAGCTTATTTGGTGTTTTTGGACAGTTTAGGTTCTGGTATCACCAGTACAGAAAGGTAAGAAACATTTGAATAACTGAAAATCAGACACTAATCTTAATCCAATCCCGATCAATTAAAACCTGAGACATCAGGTCCTATGAAAAATTTGGAAATTGGGGATTTTACTACAATAATGTAAACATCTGGAAATAGATGGTTTTTTGGTTTCCATTACCTACTGGAAAATTCGGATTAGGAGAGCTTTACTGTATAATATATTATATTCAACTACAGGGTGTTTTTGAGCATGCCTAAAAAAAAATCTGATGAAGTTTATGTATATATTGACCTTATATATTTTTCTTTCAGTACCCAATCATTAAGAACTTTCAAAACTGAATGCGAAAAGTTCCTAAAAACTCAAATCGGTTCTAATATACCAGATTCCCATTCAAAATCCAACAAAATTATTTGCACCGATTCACAATTTGGAATCGAACCGTTCTTCGTACCAACTGGACAAGAAGCCTATGAAGCCGAATCATTTTCCTTCGAAGCACCAACCACAGTATTAAATACAATAAATCTTTTGAGAGGAATGCAACTGAATAAAGCTATTTTATTGGAAGGCAGTCCTGGAGTTGGAAAAACCACCCTTGTAACGGCATTGGCCAAAAAATCCAGGCATAAGATTTTTAGAGTGAATTTGTCAGATCAAACGGTAAGAATTTTTCACAATTATAATGCTTGTTTCATTTGGCAGTTTTATATAACTCATAGAGAATACATAAAATAGTATCATTATTTAATGTTAAACAAGTCACCACACAATACTGTTTTTTTTTCTTCAAATATTCATTTATCTTTGTGATACGTGACTCGATTTTTTAGCCAAAGAGAAAGGTAGCAAATATACTGTTCTAAAACAAAATAGAAGAGTTTGTGTTCATTTTACTTATTAATGAATCCCACTTGACGTTTACGTTAAACATAAATTTTCTTGTAGGATATTTCAGATCTTTTTGGCGCCGACTTACCTGTAGAGGGAGGCACTGGCGGTCAATTCTCTTGGAGAGATGGCCCTCTGTTACAAGCCTTGAAAGAAGGCAGCTGGATATTACTGGACGAACTCAATTTAGCCTCTCAGTCTGTTTTGGAAGGCCTAAATGCTTGTTTGGATCACAGAGGAGAAATATTTATACCAGAATTGGGAAAAGCATTCCATGTTAAGCCAGGTACAATTTGCAGGATATTATATTTAATATGTTTTTTTATGATTTTTAAATTAGGTACACGATTCTTTGCTTGTCAAAACCCAATGAAACAAGGAGGCTCCAGAAGAGGCCTACCAAAATCGTTCCTCAACAGATTCATCCAGGTTTACGCTTGTCCTTTTAGTCCGCAAGATATGGAAGCGATTCTTGGCAACCGGTTTAAAAATTTGCCACCTGAAACAATCACTAAAATGATTGAATTCAACTATAGATTAGCCAGTGGCCTCAATCAGCATCAATTTGGCCATAAAGGATCTCCTTGGGAGTGTAATCTCCGCGATTTAACTCGCTGGTGTCAAGCAACACTGTATCATTTTGAAAATTCATCAGAAAACAAAGTTTTAAGTCCAGAGAGTACCGTTCAACTAATCTATATTGATCGTATGCGAAGTATCCAAGATAAAAACAAAGTGGAAGAAATTTTTAAAGATGTTTTTGGTTGTGAGCTAAAAGGATCCAAACCTGTGGGTTATATTAATAAAGAAAACGTTCTGTTTGGTGACGTTGCTGTGAAAAGAGGACAAGATCAGCTAAATGATCATGTGTTGAAGCAGGACAAGGGCCATCTTTTGCTGAGAGGACAGTTGGGGACTTTGAGAAGTTTGGCTTATTGTGTTAATCAGAATTGGATGGCAATAGTGGTAAGAATTCTTTTATAAAAGTTGGCATTTTTACATAAAATTGTTCAATAGAGCTTAAACATTATTTGAAATCTTTGCTCTACTTTTTAAACTTTTTAACAAATGATTTATTCAATAATTCAAAGTTTCCAAATCAAAATTTCAAACTCAATTTCGTGCTGGAAATTTTCTGATGAAACTTTCAAAACCTATATAAAACTATCTTCCTTTGTGCTTTTTTTTTTTCAGGTGGGAAATTCGGGCGTCGGGAAAAGCAGCGTCGTTAAAACTTTAGCTAATCTCGCCGGGAAAACTTTGAAAACTTTACCAGTGACTTCTGCGATGGATACGACCGATATCTTAGGCGGTTTTGAACAGGTAAGTGACTTATTACCATCTGTTTATCGGTAGGCGTCGGGCTATAAAGTTATTAGTTAACTTTCGAATTTCTATCGTTATATTATTCAACATTTCTGCAAGCTTCAACTAATTAAGCATATTGGAAACACTCCAAAATTATTTTCCAATTGCTGTTAATAATACTTATGAGCATAGTTGTTATTTTCAAATTACATATTAATATTTATACTTATTTTATTATGCATACTTTCCCAATGGATATACAGGTAACCTTTTTTTCAAATTAATTAATTTTATTTATATTTAATAGTTTTAAGAATTAAATAACACAACGTAAAACTTTATATTACACACATTCTTTTTATTATCCTTTTTATTTTTCCGTCAACATATTGCATATAATATTATTTTTCCATTTTATTGATGATTGGCAATACTAAAAATAATGTTCACTATTATTTTTTGGTGATTTTGTCAACTAAATATCTGCTATAAATAATAATAAATAATAAAATTTACATTTATATTATTCCATGAGGCCGTTTTGTTTGAAGTGCTTTATAAGAGTGAAATTACAATAATTATTACTGAAATTGCTCTGTACCATTAGTAGGCCTAAATTGCTTTAATTTTAAAGTTTGTTGTTTAGGAAATTATAATTTTATCTGCTGCCCACTCTGGTTGGAATTTTGTATTGCTTTTATTTTAATTAATGATTAAATTTGATATTATCGGATAGTGGATTTAGTCCTATAATTAATTATTTATATTCATTCTGTATTGTTTGTCCACTTTTTAATTGTTTACATGAATGATAATATTTAACTGCATAATAAAATAAAATAACTGCTATTAGTAAGAGATAATCTGTGAGATGGAATTTTGAGTTTGATCATGTCATTGGTTTAGCTGTTGAGTGAATACCACAGTCTCTCTTCAATAAATTTAAGCATCAGATTAATATGTTATTATTCGTGCTTTAATACTAGATACATGATACACGTAATTTTTATGCAAATGATAATATCAATGAAGTAGTAAGAAGGTTTGGAATGACCCTATTTACTCAATACCTAAATTTGCGGCCAACATTAGAGAGAGAGAACGGGAGAGATCCATGAGATTTTCTGCCCTTGCTAGCGCTATCTCACTCAGGGTTAGAGTGAGAGATGTGGGAGATCCAATGGATGTACTGTATCAAATGAGTGACGCAAAGCTCATTCTAAACCTTCCTATTATTTCACTGTATAATATACACTTTGACAGTGCAGACTCCGCCTACGAGTCTTTTTCTTAGCTGCTGTAAATCATACAGTATTCCAGTGATCATAGTAATAATATACGCGAATAAAGTGCAACCGCATGAATGTTTAAACATACACGGCAGTGTTGGTAGCGAAATCTATACACGGTTGTAGATTGTGCTGCGCTTTTCTAGACAAAAAGTTAAAAAATACCAAAAATACAAATCTGAAACTATTCCGATAATTATTCTTAATTTTTTTATGGTATAGGTACAGTGTGTTCCTTATATTTTGACCCCTACCTACAGCTTCAGCTATACCAGGTGGAAAAAAACTTTAAATATGAAAGATGTAGGGTTTTATATCTATTATCTTTTGCGAATATCAAAACGGACAAATGACAGGTGCCAACTGTCACAATGACAAACACTTGCATTTTTCAAATGGACCACCCTGTATATTTTTGGCTAGAATGATAGCTTTTTTTCTTCTGATTCCAAATATACCATATATGTTGATATTTGGTTCAGTTGTTTTTATGCTATTTAATTTTAAAATTGATTGATACAAGAAACCAGGATAGATTAAATTAAGGGTGATGTAAATGCATTTTTAAACTTGAATATGGTAAAAATAGCTGAACCAAATATCAACATATATGGTATATTTGGAATCAGAAGAAAAAAATCTATCATTCTAGCCAAAAATACACAGGGTATTCCATTTGAAAAATGCAAGTGTTTGTCATTGTGACAGTTGGCACCTGTCATTTGCCCATTTTGACATTCGCAAAAAATAATAGACATAAAACCCTACAACTTTCATATTTAAAGTTTTTTTCCACCTCGTATAGCTAAAGCTGTAGGTAGGGGTCAAAATATAAGGAAACACCCAGTACATAAAAATTACAAAATAGTGCTCTTTAGCATGCGGAAGATTTTCGGCGATGTTTTTTTATTAATGTATGCCTTTCTTTTTGATACAAGGTGTTCCAAGAACAGCTGTACCGTTATCAACTTAATTTTTTTAAAAGGTACCCCCTGTATATTATGACATTTCTGGATTCTGCAAAAAATCCCAGACATATTTCATGTACTACAGTGTGGTCATTTCATCTTGATAACATTTTAAACTGTCACCATTTCTTTATTTTTTAAGGCCGCGTTAATGGCCGCCATGTTTAAACTGTGATTGGTTGATTTTTCGAAACTTGTTTTACGGTCTTTAAAAAAACGGCACATCAGAATTGGGTCAAAGGATAACGCACACCTAACATGGGATTTTTGGGCTCTATGGATTTTTCCCATTTTTTGATATGTTGTAAAGGATTTAATTCTGAACAACCTTTAAATGGGACGAAGTCTTGTGGGTATTACGGTCTTTGAGATATGAGCGTTGAAAAATTAACTTTTTTGCGACTTTTTGTGTGGAGAGTATACGAGATACTGGTGCTACTGGTGTTTATCAGTCAAAATATTGACAGGTTCACATACTTTACGTCACTAAAAATTAATGTCAACATAGGTTAAGGCCAGGTCTGCACTGGGGTCAATGTTAGCGCCAGTGCGGTCCCGACCTTAGCCTATGTTGACATTTGTTAGTGACGTGAAATATGTCAACCTGTCAAAATTTTGACTGATAAACACCAGTTTTTCGTATACTCTTCACACAAAAAGTCGCAAAAAAGTTCATCTTTCAATGTTCATATCTTAAAAACCATAATACCTACAAGATTTCGTCCCAATTAAAGGTTGTTAAGAATTAAATCCTCTACAACATATCAAAAAATGGGCAAAATCCATAGAGCCCAGAAATCCCATGTTAGGTGTGCGTTATCCTTTGGCATAAACATTATTTGATCGATTATCTACATTTCCTTATTTTGGTTTTTCGATATTCAGCGTTTTTTTTAAATTCAAAAATCATGTTCGCAACCACCAAAACAACTAAATGTGTTGGTGGTTGCATATTTGCATGTTTATCAAGCTTGGATCCGTGAAAAGCATATTTTATTGATAACTACGAAAAACTAAAAAAAGCTAATTGTAGATAATCTATCAAATAATGTTTATGCCAAAGGATTTTGGAAATTATTGCGGATTTTTTGAGATGACCTTAAAACGAATTTTGAAGGTGAAAACAGTTCAAGCAATTTCAAGTAGATGGCGCCACGGCAAAAAAGCTATATTGGGAGCATCATAATTGTATATTTGTCTTTCTCTGTCACTATAAGTGTTTTACCGCCAAACAGATTTTGTTTTGGACAAATAATAAAATATTGAACCGTATTTGTAGAGTGATGCAGTCGTCATTTTCAAAAACTAAATTTAAACATGGCGGCCATTAACGCGGCCATAAGTAATTTTTTCTACTGACATTTCATAATACGCTATTAAACGATTAAAATCTGTATTATAATGAACTTCATTACGATACAGATTTTCATTATAATACTCATTTTTAATATTATACAATGTTGATAGATGGCAGCACTAGTTAAGATATTGAACATTTTTAACGGTAATTTTGCGTAAAACAATTATTTTGATAACGATAAAAAAGACTTCGAATTGTTTAAAAGTTACCTAAAGTTTGGGACAAAGAATAATTATTATAGAAATAATGAGTGGTAAGGAAGAATTTTTACTTTTTTAATTATTATACATTGTCAATAGATGGCGCCACCAGTTAAGAAATTTTGATTTTTTTTTTTTGAATGATGACAGCACTCTGTTTATAGCTTTTCCATGGTAATTTAGCGGAAAACAATAATTTCATGAAAAAAATACTTCGAATTGTTATTAAAAGTTACCTACCTAATGTTTGGGATAAGGCATTATTATGGAAATATTGAGTGGTAACGAAGAATTTTCACTAACACCCCCAGAAATTACAGAAAAGGCGACAAATGCAGGTAATAATATACTACCGGACAAGTCCAAGAAAATTTGCGAAAAATTATATGGACAATTTATGGATTGGAAACACCAAAAACACATCGTCCTTCTCAGAAAATGTTTTGATACCTAGTATATTTTGAAGAATTACAACAAAAAATGAAACCTTCAACTGTATGGATTACTCAATTATAAAATCTCTATTCAAAGTCAAGCATAATGTTGACATATCTAAATATCATAAGTTTTATCAATGGCAGTAGAAAAAATAGTGTATGCAACTCTCATGTAATGGCCATTAATACACTCGCATGTTATATACGAAACTCGCCTGCGGCTCGTTTCGTATCCTACAACATGCTCGTGTATTAATGGCTATCATTACATGATCATTGCATAATATACTATAAATAAATAAAAAAACATACTGTAGGCTTGGTTTCCAAGTTTTAAATAGGGTGGACAAAAAACAAGAAACTCTTATATTTTGACAGTTATGCACACGAATAGATTTTTTTTAAATGAAACCCCCAGTAAATTTTTTATATTTACATGCACACAGTAAAAAATCTAGTGTTAATTTTAACACGCAAAAGTGGTACATATAGGTCCACACTCATGCGTGTTTAATTCACCTTTGATAAAATGTGGTAAAGTTTGGTAAATTTTATTTAAAAAAAAGATTCATTTTACCCATTCTTGCGTGTTAAATATATTTTAGAGGTCGTAAAAAGGAAACTTGACTGAGTTTTAAATTAGGTTTTGATCAAAGGAAAATTTTATTTACCTAGTGTTAAACATATTTTGGTTAATGTAAAAAAACACAGTATTGAGTGTTAAAAGCAGTGGCGGCTGGTGGGAGGAAAAGTTGGCGGTGCACAGATTCAGGGGGGGAAGCCCCAGAAGCGCGCAATTTTTTTTAGATTGACCCAAACTAACCCAAATTTTGATCTAAAAGTTGTACAAAAAACACGCCTCAGAAAGTTTTTTCACTTATTCTCAATTCAAACGTGGGCATTTACCATTTCTACAAGATACTAGGGACATAAAGCTACTTGGAATAATTCGCCGGTATCGGTATCGGTATACGTAACGCAACTAGATACGTTGACAAGCGAAAAGGCTGTTAAAGCTCTCGCTATTCCGGTAAACGTGAACGCATCTCATAACCTAGAAATTTTTTTCTCAAAACTCCGGCGTTTTTATATCTAACCTTAAAGTTGTAATTTTTTTTTGCGATAGAGAAGCACTAAACACAAAAGAAACTCAAGAAAGTATAAACTAAACAAATTAAATCAACCCGGAAGAAAAGTGAGGTTATATTCACTTAAAATTTGACACATGCGTCAGGTATGTCAAGATACGTTACCGACACGGATACTGCGAGAGGGCCGTAACGTTACGTTGTACGTACGGTATCTCGGCGTCCGTATCGCTTCTGCACATGCGCAGTACGATACCGATACGGATACCGAGCAAAAAATACGGAAGCTTTATGTCCCTAATAAATAAAGCACGGGCGGAGTACACTTTTTAGTTCAATTTACTAAAAAAGCGTGTTTTTTAGTTTTTTTAAACTATATTTATTTCACTTTTTAGTTCGATGTATTATAAAAGCGTGTCAGCCCCAGAGATTTCCAGACTTTTCCAGACATTATCCAGGCTTATTCAGAGCTTTCCAGAGTTTTCCAGATTTCATCCAGATTTATCCAGACTTGTACTGACTGATCCGGATTCTGGAAAATGATCCCCAGGTCTTTTGGGACCTTTTCCAGAATTTTTCCGACCCTTTCAAGAAATTTCCAGGCCTTTTCCAGACGTTTCCAGAGATTTCCAGACATTATGCAGACTTATCCAGAGCTTTCCAGAGTTTTCCAGACTTCATCCAGATTAATCCAGACTTGTTCAGACCGATCCGGATTCTGGAAAATGATCCCGAGGTCTTTTGGGACTTATCCAGAGCTTTCCAGAGTTTTTCAGACTTCATCCAGATAATCCAGACTTTATCCAGACTTGTTCAGACTGATCCGGATTCTGGAAAATGATCCCCAGGTCTTTTGGGACCTTTTTCAGAATTTTTCCAACCCTTTCCAGAAATTTCCAAGTCTTTTCCAGACGTTTCCAGAGATTTCCAGACTTTTCCAGACAATATCCAGAGTTTTACAGACTTTATCCAGATTTAATTTGATGACCCATGATCAGATTGGTTTTTCAGGGACGTTACTACTTTTCAAATTTTTGTAACTTGTATCACCGAGTTATTTCTTCTGACTCTTCAAGTGCAATCTTTTTTTTCGCTGAAACAACAGATCTTTATTTTATAATGGTACCTAAAATGGCGGCGTATTGCGTATGTGCGTTATTCTTGAGTAAATAAGTATGCTTACCTAGATCCATGGCATCTTTATACGAAAAATGATAATTTAATTTACAGAACTTTCCTTTGACTCTATAAAAGTAATTTAAATGTAATGGACATTTTGAGTTTTCACCTGAATTTTAGCCTGGGATGGCATCAACCATGTTTTACGAAACTTGCAAACGATTAAAGATGCACCACGCGGAACCGCAACCTGTAGGTACAACTACAACTGACAAACTGACGCGATTATTAGGTAAGGGTTAGACCACCGGCAAGGCCTAGAGGTGAATCAACCTTCGGGAGTGTTATTTTTACCAATTTTTGGGATATTTTAAACTAACGCAATTTTTTTCATCAGCGTAAAAGAAAATATTCTTTTTGTAGTGTGAAATTTATTTAAACTGTGTTAGAATAACACAAAAAGAAATAAAAATGTGTTCATACGAAATTTACCGTTCGGATAGTGGTCTTCGAGTGTTAAAGTGTACAAATAAGTATATTTTTTAGTGTTATTTTTAACACCTCTATAATTTACCTTGTGATATATACTTTTTACCACCGCCTTATTTTTTACTGCGCAGAAATGTTTTATTTATTCTAACTGAAAATTTTGCCTATTTACACAGATAACCTACAAAAGTAGGTAAGTAATCAATATTTTCAATGAGAATAAATAAAACATTTATGTAAATATAGAGTAATGGCATGTAATATTGACAGTTGAGTTCAAGGGGGTGCTTCTGTACTTGGAGCTCTTCAAATTTTGGCACGTGAATAATCGAATGTAATTTTAACCTCAAAAGTCAAGTTTGAAGTGTAGTTCTGTGTGTGGTTTCAAGACAAGCTGTCGCTGACACTTTTGAAAACAATTTTTAAGGGCCACTGAACGTTTGGGAAGACATTTTGACTTATTCACTGCTCATTGTTCCTAGGTAGTCATCTTTCCTCCTACTGATTAAAACGGTTTGAAACTATTGACATTTACCGCCAAAATTCAAAGCACTCCAAGTTCACTCGCGCCC